CCTGCTTTGAGGTACACCAATTAACCGTGTGCTGCACGCTCTCCAAGATGACATACGTTCCGAAGAGAGCCAAAAATAACACGGCTGCAGGAACACAAGAAGGGAGGGCGAGTGTGTGTGTAAGAAAAGTACAGGTTTTTAAGCGCACTGCATCTGCATTAAGGTCCGAGTTGAATCTCCCACAGGGGTGTTCATTCAAAAACTTGGCCTGAGGCACGAGAGAGAGGGTCTGCTTCGCTACATCACGCTGAAGGACACTAGACAGAGCACCTGTGGCGGGAAACTTATCTCACATGTGCAGCCCTGGCAGGGCATCCGTCAACAGGACCAGAGCAGCGTTGAGTTGATCCATTAACATTAACAATTGGCCCCTGCCGTGTAGTGAGGAAACAGGCAATAAGTTAGCATGGAGGCTCTGGTTCTGAGGTGGCCTTCACAGGGCATCTTAAACCCTTAGACCCCATACATACTCTGTGCAAAAACGCGGTAACACTTTATTTCGATAGTCAACTTTAGACATTCCACTAACTATAAGTAACTTTGCAACTACATGTCCACTAGCAGTCATTAGAGTATTAGTAGACTATCTCCTGAATATCTGCTAACTCTTTATTTTGATGCTCCTCAACAGACATTCTGCAGACTAGAAGAAACTTTGTTACATGTCAACTTATTCTCCTAACACAGACCTAACAGTCAACTAATACAAGTGTGTTGACATGTAGCTGCAAATTAATGAAAGTTAGTTGACATATAGTTGCAAAGTTACTTATAGTTAGTAGAATGTCTACAGTGGACTATTGAAATAAAGCATAACCAAAAACGCTTCTAACTTTACGATTAATCGCATCTCACAAAAAAGTTTGCATATATATATATATATATATATATATATTTATACACACACACACTCACCAAAAGGATTATTAGGAACACCTGTTCAATTTTTTATTAATGCAATTACCTAATCAACCAATCACACGGCAGTTGCTTCAATGCATTTAGGGGTGTGGTCCTGGTCAAGACAATCTCCTGAACGCCAAACTAAATGACAGAATGGGAAAGAAAGGGGATTTAAGCAATTTTGAGTGTGGTTGTGGTCTGAGTATTTCACAATCTGCTCAGTTACTGGGATTTTCACGCACAACAATTTCTAGTGTTTACAAAGAATGGTGTGAAAAGGGAAAAACATCCAGTATGCAGCAGTCCTGTGGGCTGAAAATGTCTTGTTGCTAGATGTGATGTTAGAGGTCAGAATAAGCCAACTGATTCAAGCTGATTGAAGAGCAACTTTGACTGAAATAACCACTCGTTACAACCGAGGTATGCAGCAAAGAATTTGTGAAGCCACAACACGCACAACCTTGAGGCGGATGGGCTACAACAGCAGAAGACCCCACCGGGTACCACTCATCTCCACTACAAATAGGAAAAAGAGGATACAATTGGCAAAAGCTCACCAAAATTGGACAGTTGAAGACTGGAAAAATGTTCCCTGGTCTGATGAGTCTCGATTTCTGTTGATACATTCAGATGGTAGAGTCCGAATTTGGCGTAAACAGAATGAGAACATGGATCCATCATGCCTTCTTACTACTGTGCAGGCTGGTGGTGGTGGTGTAATGGTGTGGGGGATTTTTTCTTGGCAAACTTTAGGCCCCTTAGTGCCAATTGGGTATTGTTCAAATGCTACGACCTTCCTGAGCATTGTTTCTGACCATGTCCATCCCTTTATGGCCACCATGTACCCATCCTCTCATGGCTACTTCCAGCAGGATAATGCACCATGTCACAAAGCTCGAATCATTTCAAATTGGTTTCTTGAACATGACAATGAGTTCACTGTACTAAAATGGCCCCCACAGTCACCAGATCTCAACACAACAGAGCATCTTTGGGATGTGGTGGAACGGGAGCTTGAATGTGCTGGATGTGCATCCCACAAATCTCCATCAACTGCAAGATGCTAACCTATCAATATGGGCCAACATTTCAAAAGAATGCTTTCAGCACCTTGTTGAATCAATGCCACGTAAAATTAAGGCAGTTTTGAAGGCGAAAGGGGGTAAAACACACTATTAGTATGGTGTTCCTAATAATCCTTTAGTATATATAAATAGATTCCTAATAATCCCTCTATATATATACATAGATTCTTGTATGTATAGTTCTTCATACTGATAGTAGACGATTTAAATCACTGGAGGTTGCAAATTCTCCACTGACTGCACATGTGCATAAATTTGAATTCTGTTAAACTTTCATCACCAATTTGTCACCACAACTAGCTTATTCTCACTGCAAATGGCTGACTTTTTTTTACTTTTCTTCTGCAAATTACAGTCAGGGTTAACTGATCGCACCTTGTCACCATGTTACTGCACTGTTGGTCGTGAGTGGGCGTTTCTACCGCTAGTTTCCCTAGTAACGTTGTGCTGCACCTCTAGCAATACTTAGCGAACGCCTGACCTCAAATTGCACTGCTGCTAAAAATAAAATTGCATTGATAAAAAGCCATTGCTAATATGAACATGTTGGAGAGGAAACTATTTCTTTATAAACTGCTACTATGCATTATGCAGCAACGAGAATCAAAGCATGCTCAATGCTTTTTGATGTTCTTCCATGCATCACTTTTTGTATACGTCTCTGTATGCGCGCAGTCATACAGAATAGAAAGATTAATCACAAACAGGACAAATGTTTCCTCCATCGTCTATACACTCGACCACATCATTTGACATTAGGCGGATCACATGAGCTTCACTGTCTTCTCAGCCGTCAGTAGTTCATCGTGTCACTGCTCATTTGCATAAAGATGAACTCTGCTCTCATTTGCATAAAGTTGAACTTTGTCAGGGTGTCTGGCACACCCACATCAAATCACCAAAGTCCCTCTCACCTCAAATCACCAACTCTGACTGAAACAGGATGACTTTAGTTTGACTTTGCAAATTGTTGTTAAAGTGAACGCAACTTCAGTGTTGACAGGAAACAAACTTGTCTCTGGAATCTCGTCGAACATTACTCGATGCAGATATGATGTCGGAAGTCACTTTTCTATGCTGAATGAAACCCGCAGTTTTCCTTTATGTAATCTTATCAACACAAATACACGCCATGGCATTTTCCTTGAAAATGCACTGTAAAGGTGTTACTACAATAACACCTGAACCAAACAACGTACTGCAATCAATCTTTTTCAGCATTTGATTTTTGCTTTTTCAAAGGGAGAAAAAAAGTAATGATTGGTGCTGGCTGAATGTGAACATGCCTGCCGTGTAGGAGCAGTGAGAGTGCTGGAGCTGAAGGCATGATAGAAGACAATGGATGAAAGGAGCTGTCAGAGCGAACAGGAGAAGAAAAGAGAGAAGTGCCATGGGAGCGAAGCAGAGAGATGAGATGACAAAGCTGGGAGGTGACAGAGGAGGAGGAGGAGGAGGAAGAGGAGGAGGAGGAGGGCGAGGAGGACACAAGGTGAATATGAGAGCCTTCGGAGAACAGACGCCATCTCGCTCTTGACCTCTCTCTCAGTTTGAGGAGCCCAAGATCTGAAAATGACATCAGATAGGGGAAGTTTGACTCTCTTTCATGTGCCTCTCTCTTTCATTACGACTGCACCACTCTCTCTTGCATGAATGGACAATACATTTAAAACACCAGAGACACTACCTTCTGAATACTTACATATCGGACATCTGCTGTTCTGCCTAGAAGGCCAGATTTTATCTATCATTTTATAAGTCTATCTGCATATCTACCTACCTTTCTTTCATTTATCAGTCTATAGATAGATAAACAGACAGACAGAATAGATAAAACGCCAGATAGATAGAACGAAAGATAAAATGACAGATAGATAGACCGACAGAACGATAGACAGACAGAATGAACAATAGATAGACAGACAGAACGATAGACAGAACTTACAATAGATATACAGAACGATAGACAGACAGAACGATAGACAGAACAATAGATAGAACGATAGATAGACAGACAGACAGATAGATACAGTAGATAGATAGATAGATAGATAGATAGATAGATAGATAGACAGAACAATAGAAAGAATGATAGACAGATAGAACGACAGACAGAACGATGGATAGACAGATAGAACGATAGATAGACAGATAGAACGACAGATAGACAGAATGATAGACAGAACGATGGCCCGAACGATAGACAGAATGATAAACAGATAGATAGATAGATAGATAGATAGATAGATAGATAGATAGATAGATAGATAGACCGATAGACAGATAGATAGATAGAACGATAGATAGACAGACAGAAAGACACATAGAACGACTGATATAACGATAGATAGAACGACAGTTAGAACGACAGAACGACAGATAGAACGATAGATATATATATATATATATATATAGATAGATAGATAGATAGATAGATAGATAGATAGATAGATAGATAGATAGATAGTTAGTTAGTAGAGCCCGACCGATAAAGCATTTTGAAGGCAGATACCGATATAAATATTTGTTGGTTTTAAAATCCGATATTCCGATATATCGGCCGTTATTTTTTTATTTCTTTTTTATTTCAGAAACGTGCAACAAAACATTAACAGGTTTCTTTAACATAGTTATTTGTAGTTATTTATGAGTTTTAACTAAAATAATATTAATGCATTTATAATACCAAAACTAAAAAAGCAAAACTTGTTTACAAGAAAAACAAAAATCTCATACTGCAAATTGTAAAACATACATTTTCAATATAACAGGCCAAGGAGAGATAATTGAAGCGTGTTTCGTCCGTTTTTTATTTTTATTTTTTTAAATATTCATTTATCGGCCATTATAACTGCCGATACCAATAGTTTGGAAAATGCCTAATATTGGCCGATAATATCGGCCGGCCGATAAATCGGTCTGGCTCTAATAGATAGATAGATAGATTCCAACAGGAATATAGATTAAAATGCAAACAATACAGTAAAAAACAACAGCTAAAAAACAAGATAGTTCATCAATTGATACATTTTCGATGGTGTTAAAAAAACAAACATGGACTTCTCTGAAGAAACTACACTCAAATCCCAAACAGCAGCAAACAACATCACGAAGCGTATAAAGTCACCGACTGGAACAAGCAGCGAATATGCAAAGCAGAGAAATGTCAACAAATCCTGCAAACAGCTGTTTGGGGTTTCTCTACCATTGCTGGGATTTTGGACGGTTCGATGTCTCCCGCACCAGTATTTCTATAATCCTAAACAGATTTGCTCCAACCACCAGAACAGCCAGAGTCTGGGTGTCTCTGCAGCGTTCTCCACAGAGAACATTAATAGCCTGCATATGCCGATAAATCATGGAATGGATTAGGCGCAACGTATGTGGTCCTCTGCCGTAACTACTGGTGGCATTTAGGGACACATTTGAACAAGAACAGAAATTGATCCATGCTGTTCTGTGCTCTCACATCCACACTGACGGACTGAGTTTTGTCAGTTGACCAAGTGCAACGACACGGACACAACCAGAGGGTACTCTTCTCTTTTCATAATGCATAATCGTACAGACCATTTTACACCCCGTTCCTGCCATATAATCACTATAGATGCAATAACCTGCAATACATCACTCATTTCGATACATGTCTGCATTTATGGATTAATGTCTTTCTGCCTGTGGCTGTATTTGTTCATTTAGGTGGGGGGTCGAGGTTCTCTCCACATGCGCACGAGCCGCTCTTTCTTTCACTATCAGTGCTGGAAGGGCTGCCCGCAGTGCAACCGGAGGAAAGACTGATCACCATTATCCCAGACTCCAGAGGGGCAGTTTCGTCTAGGACAGCAGGGTGAAAATTACACGCATGCTCACATGCCTAGAGAAAATAGAGCCAGGGTCAGGGGTGTCCGGATCTCAGTGAGGATATCAGGCAGTCTGAGGTTTTTGCTATCTCTCTTTTTTCCTGAAGGAGGGACAAACGGGAAATGAAGCCAGGGGATTGGTGGGTTGTAAACAATGAGGGTGCTTAATGGATATATATGCCCGAGGCAAGAGAGACATCAGCGCGTCAACACTCCAGACAGAGACATTATCTATAAAACAAGCATCCAGTCCTTTAACAAGTGCTAATAAAGATAATTAGTAGAAACACATGTAAACGTGTAAAGACCTAATTGAGAGACTTGTGTCATTTGTTTTGTTTTTCTAATTAATTGTCTCTCCTATGGGTCAATAACATGCTTATTTTTGTCTGCATCAATTAATCAAAAATTTTACTTGTACATAAAGATTTGAATATACATCTTTTATGACGATACAACTGTCCTAAAAAAATATCTTTTTATAAAAGAAAACCTTTAACTCTTCTTCTACTTTCAATTCACAGTTTTCAACAAAACTGCATTACCGCTAAATAATATTTGAAAAACATTTAATCCACCAAATAAAATCTATGTGGTTATTTTTTTTTTAAATACACTAATGTTCAAAAATAATGTTAAATGTTTTTAAATGAAGTTTCCTATGCTCACCAAATCATATATTTGATCAAAAATATACTGTGAAATATCATTCCAATTAAAAACAACTTTGATTTTATATCTTATATATCTTATATTATATTTTCAAATGTATTTTATTCCTATGATAACAAAGCAAAATGTTCTGCATCATTACTCTAGTCCTCAGTGTCACATGATATTTCATAAATCATTCTCATCATTTTAGATGAATTTAATGCATTCCATGCAGAATAAAATAACTTATTTATTGAACGGTAATGTAAATAAAACAGAAAATGATGTCACATTAATGATGCAGCAGACTCACAAATGTGAATCAAGATTGTTATATCAGATTTTGAGCTTTTTATGACAGGACAAGGTTAGCTCAGGCTTAAAAAATGTCATGTGTCTCAACTCCCCAACAACCTTGATAATAATTGTACATACACAAAAATGATTTAAACAAATTAAACCAAAGTGTGTATTTCCTTGTAGTAAACTAGATTTTTTTCAAATCATTTTGTGCATGTACAATTATTATTATCATAACATGTTAGTAAATGCATCTATCTAAAATGCATCTATAAATCATTCACTGTAAAAAAAATTATTGTGATTTTAATGGTAAAAGATGATAAAAATGCTACAGTGCAAAATTGTTAATTGGTTAACAGAAAGTTTCCATACTATATACTGTAAATAACTGATATTTTATTTTTTTATATTTTATTTTACTGTAAAATACCTTTAAATTCACAGTTTTTGAAAGTGAAAAAAAACAACTCATTGTATAATTTACAGTGAAAATTCCCACAATTCCCTGTGTGACACTTCACAATTAATGTATTTTTGTTGAAATAACTCCTCATAATTTTCTTGTAGTTTGTTTCTAATCAGTTATGTATATTAGGGTTTTATGTTACATTTAATGTTGTTAAATTAATGTTTATTGCATTTTTTTTGCATCGTGTTTAATATTTGTGTGCATGACTGTGCAGCTTCTATATTAGTATGAAGTTGGTTGTCAGTGTATTACAATGGAACAAAACAGATATCAATTTATCAAAAGATTGGTAAAATAACCTTTTATAAGAAAATTAAATACGGTTTATTACTGTAAATTTTAAGTTAGGTCTGTAAAACCATAAACGTTCCTACTGTATTTTTAACGGTAAAGTTAGTTTTTTACCGCAACAATTACGGTTTTATTTTTTACAGTGTACGTTTTTGGGGAGTTGAGGCACATGACATTTTTAAAGCTTCTGCTTAACTTATTTTGGATATTCTTACATGTTACTGAAAATAAACAATAAAAAAATAAGACAATCTATTAATTACATTAAAGGGATACTTCACTAAAAAAAAAAAAGAAAATTCTGTCATTAATTACTCACCCTCATGTCGTTCCAAACCAGTAAGACTTTCGTTCATCTCTGCAACACAAATGAAAGGTGATTAATTAATGACAGAATTTTAATTTTTGGGTGAACTAAACCTTTAAATATAGGCAACGTTACGGCTGTGGTGGCGGCACAGGGCAGGAGCACAGAGGTTCAGTCCCTGTGTTGTGAACAAGCTATTAAACGTAAGCATTAAACAGCCCTTTTAGCGCTGTCAAACATAAGCACATTGGTGTAGCCCCACAGCGTATTGAAAAAACCAAGTATTCCAGGGTTTCATTCTAAAGTACACACTAAAACAGTTGGGTTTTATTTAATTACACAGATCTCCAGCCTCTTAACACTCCTTTTCACATAGTGCATGGTTTGACTCCCTGGCTCTTCTGAAAAATGCCCATTATTCTCGATGGTGGGTTGGCCATAATGGACAAGCACATGCATTTAACTACAGGGTCAAAACAAAGTTTAATCATTTCAAACTCTTTATAGTCTCTTCAACAGTGTTGAAAGCTCAGGAAATACCTGCACACTACAGTACAAGTGGTCATTTTTGTCTCCCAAACTGATCATCCTGGTAATGGGCATATCATTTTTCGAATTCTAATTTTACTCCCCCTCTCTCTCTCTTTCACATTTTTTTCTTTCATTCACTATTAGTTTAGTATTAGAATTACAGTTATTCAAAGCAATTATGAGGAATTCATATTGAGAGGAAGTATTTGAACGATTCTGATTCGATTCTGCTTAAAGGGATACTCCACTTTTTTTGGAAATAGCCTCATTTTACCTCTCCCCCAGAGTTAAACATTTGAGTTTTACCGTTTTCTAATGTATTCAGCCGATTTTTTGAGATTATTTATTTTTTATTTAGAAGAATATCAGTAACCAGACAGTTTCTGGTTTAATTGATTGCCATAGTATATTTCTTTCCTACTATGGAAGTCAATGAGGCCAGAAACTGTCTGGTTACTGATATTCTTCTAAATATCAGAAAATCGGCTGAATGGATTTTAAAACGGTAAAACTCAACTGTTTAACTCTGGGGGAAACGATTCAGTGTTTAACGATTCACTGTTTAACGATTCAGATTCTTTTCGATTCCAATAATGCAAAAAAAAAAACTTAGATATCATTCACATTTAGTCTTATTGCAAAACATTTAATTGTAGCTGAAAATCACGAACAGAAATCAACAGAATAAAGAACACTTAGACAAGGAACGTTTGCCTGTGGTTTAAAAATACCATTGAAAAACAACTAGCCTAACTAATATCAATTTCAAGCATTATTAAAGACAATAAACACTCAGTAATTAAAAAAGAACAAATAAAAAAAATGTAAAAAATAGATTCAACTGAACAAAGATATGACTGAAATAAACAGTTTAAAGATTTTCAGGGATTCAGGTACAGAAACTGTAATCAAATGTAAGAGAACACTGCTTATAAATAAAATATACATTAAAAATATAGTTACGAAAGTTATTCAGTCAAGAACGAGAACTTTTCTCTTTGTCTTTTGTTGTTTGATTAATGTTATTATAGAGACAGCAGCAGGAACATTAAGACCTGTTCACACCGGGATATTCGCTGACGTTTAATGCATTGTGACTAAACAAAGGGTGCCAATGTGAGTGTGCACACCGACACGAAAAACGCCACACGTAAAAGCGTCATTTTTTTTTTACAAACGGCTTCTGAAGTTACAGTAAAACACAACTTGGGGGCGCTCAAACACAAAACGGTCTTGCCGAGCACACATACGTAACGGCGAAGAAGATATACGCCAAGTACACTACCGGGAAGAAATAAGACGAGGAAGATGCAAGGCAAGATGAATGTAGAGTTACTGTTCTCGTTGCTGTCGGAACATAAAGAACTAAATGACAAACGCGGCTGCGACTTCAAATTAGGAATATTTCTGTTTTACATTAAGCGCCATCTAATGTCAGGGAATGAATTGGCATGTTCACTCGGCTCATCGTCAGGGAAAATCGCTTCGGTGTGAACAGAAAAAACGCATTGAAAAACGCTGGCGAATAACGTGCGCCGATATTCGTCCCAGTGTGTACGGCATTTTAGGCTGCTGTCACTTTAAGTGTTGCACGGATTCAATATACTGTTACACGCACTGAAAACAGTGCGCTTGAAAGGTCATATTGAAATGCTCACAAGTAATCAATAAGTAATCGATTATATTTTATAACAAGTATCCGATTCTGACCTCAAGTATTCGATTCCCAACCCTAGAGAAAGTTATAAAACACTATAAAAATACAATATAAACAAAAACTTGCACTTATCCATACAAGACCTCCCACTGAAAATATATCATACTTACAGGTAATCAACATTCAAATTTGCCATTATGCTGCAAAACAGCAGACGATCTTAGTGATCAAAGAACATACATAAATACGGTCTTAAAGAGGCTCCCCAAACAATTAGTAAGCTGAGAGGCTTTTTTGTTCAGCCCAGATGCAGCGTCTCGCCTTTGAGGACAAGCGTGTGGCTTTGACCTCCGTTCGGCGGTAATGACGCAGTCTGACCCCTGAAATACTTCTCCGCATTAGAATCACTATTCACATCCTTTGCTAGCGATGTGCCTTTCGCAAGACTCCAGCCGACTTTTGGGATCCAGTGCATTGTTGTATTCTTGGAACGTTCAACCTCCCCCTCTTCCTGCTATCTAAAGAACTAATCTAAAACCCTGCTATTATGATTCTTGTACTTGGCGAATCTGAGGCCAATTTAGAACATCAACACCATCAATCACAAGACAGAGGGGCCAATACTGCTGTCCTGCAGGTTTTCTTGTCATCCAGGTCACGTCCTTTTCCTACACAAGACTTGTTCACTCTCAGGACAGGCCTGAGTGAACCCACTCAAACCGCTGTCTGTGTTATTCCGCGTCCTGACGAACTTTCGATGACCAGGCCATGTGAGTTTACCCAAACAAGGGTACCACATTCTCTCTCCGGCTTTTAAAAAGAAAGAAGAATGGAACAAGGACAAGAGATGGACAAAAAGTATATTTTCAGCCTTCAAAATGTCTGCCACGTACTAATGTCACGTACTAAATAAAGCCTCCGGCAAGCGAATAAATAAGAGCTCTGAGTCATCACCTAGTAAAACATTGTCAGGGATTGTTGGCATGTACACATAAAGCAAGAACATGTCTCAGGAGGAAAACAACTTTGCCCTTTTCTATTCCTTAGTACGCAGAGTTTATAAGACTATAAAACTCACAGAAATGGCCTACAAAAAATAACCTTGCCATAAAGTGCTTATTATACGCATGCATTTCCAACGCATTCGATTGCTCTGCATTTATCTGCGCCACACAGACATTAGCAAAGAGATGTGTTTTAATCAGAATATTCAAATCGCTGCGGTAAAGTATACATTGATGAACAAATGCATACTAGACAAAAGACTGGTTGCATTGTTTCTCCTCTCCTAATAGAAAATGGCTGGGCTACTGGCACAGTGCCACAGTTGTGCTCATCAGGGGATGATATCACATGTAATTATCCTCACACACCCACCTAAGCTTCTCAATATCATCAAAACACACCGAGTACAAATAATCATGTGAATGAAGGGCTTGGAAGATGCTACATTTACAGTACAATCCAAAATGCATGTGCTATGTAAAGGAGTCTTTAAATATTATTTATGCCTCAAAGGGAGAGAGTGCAGGGAAAAGAAAGTATTGGGGAGAGACTGATAAGACTAATTTATCAAAAGGGAAAAATATTCAAATCATTTTCAAGGAAAGTTTGATATGATGTACACACCGCATGAAAAAAACACATTTGAACTAGAGTTCAAAAGGTCAGGGTCAGTAAAATATTTTTAATGTTTTTGAAAGAAGTCTCTTCTGCTTGTCTTGACTAAAAACATTCATGAAATATTATTATCATTTCAAATAACTGTTTCTTATTATTACATTTCAAAATATAATTTATTACTGTGACGCAAAGCTGAATTTTCAGCATCATTACTCCTTCAGAAATCATTCTAATATGTTGATTTGCTGCTCAAGAAACATTTATTATTATTATCCATGCTGAAAACAGTTGCACTGCTTATTGTTTTTGAGGAAACTGTGATAGAAAAGATTTCAGGTTTCTTTAATGAATGTAAAGTTCTATATAGACATAAATATTTTGTAACACTAAAAATTGCTTTCCTCTCAATTTTGACCAATTTAATGTGTACTTTCGTTATAAAAGTATTAATATCTTTCCGAAAAAAATGCTTACTTGACCCCACAAATTTGTACGGTGTGCTTATGCAAGTACATACATCTTAATCTTTCTTTTCTTTTTAAGCCTTAAAATATTTTTAAGTTTTCATAAATATAATTTTTTGGGAGTTGCACAACCTAAAATAACCATTATATATATATATATATATATATATGGGTTTTAAATCAGAATTTAAAAACATAACCTGCACACTGGACTAGACTGTGTCAAAAAGTCTGGCTATAAGTGCAATTTACAAACAGTCGCCCAATTTAACCAGCTGCTTAATCCATTTTAAAATCATGGCAAATGGTAATGACTTGCTCGAGTAATCAAGCAACCAAAGTAACTAACGTAGATGTAGTCAAAAATGTCCCTCATGATGATCTACATCTACGATTCAAACGCATTGTAGTTCTATCAACTTGCTTAGTGGCGGGCGGTGTACCCTGGGGCAAACATTTTTGGGCAAACATCCAATTAGAAAGTCATTGCCCTAAAAGGAAACAAGTGGTACATGGTTCTACTATCCCAGACATGTCACGCTATCTCCAGACCCTCTCTAAGATGGGGGAATCCCCTCAAACTTTGTGTGTGACAGGAATGATATGTACAAATGTAATGCAATTTTGTCACAAATAGCTGAGAAATTAAAATAAATAAAATGTTTGATGGTAGTTATTGGCACTCAGTGATGTAGTGTAACTAATCTATGAATATGCAGACCATGCATTACCTTGGCACGCAGACTGACAGAAGAAAGCTCTACTGCTGCAACTAGCATGTAGGAGAAGGAGAGACCATGTGCTTTAGAGGCCACGACCCACCTCCGAACAAGCTAATAGAAGAAAAATAAAGTGAAGAAAATGAAAATAAACCATTTTATGCCAAAATGATTAAAAGGATAGTTCATCCAAAAATGATTTCTCACCCTCATGTTGTTCCAAACCTGTAAGACTTTCGTTCATCTTCAGAACACAAATGAAAATATTTTCTTGATCTGAAAGCTTTCTGTCACTCCATTGACAGCTACGCATCTAACACTTTAAAGCTTCAAAAAGTTCATGAGATTGTAAAACTAATCCATATGAATTGAGCAGTTTAGTCAGAATTTTCTGAAGAGGTTGCTTTATATAATGAACAGATTAAATTGAGGCTTTTATTCACTTTTATCAGCGAACAAAACAGAGGCTCAACCTAAACTGATTGATGCAAGTACAAAGCTCATTGGCTCTTGCGGAAGCTCAAACATGATGCGTAACATGAGAATGAACCTCATTGGTTCTTACACCTCAATGATGCTTAAGCTTCTGTTTACCACAACTGATGTGTGCTTTGATAAATGTTTATAGGTGAATAAAAGCCTAAATGTATGCAAAAACGATATCTCCTCACATTTTGCTGTTTGAGCGAAACAGGCGTTTATTTATTTAGTAACAATAATTTTGTAAGTAAGTTAACCCATGTTAGTAGCTAAAAATCAGAGTGAATGTTCTTTAAAGTAGTTCACTTTAAAAAAAAAAAAATTTGCTGATAATTTACTCACCCCATGTCATCCAAGATATTCATGTCATTCTTTCTTCAGTCGAAAAGAAATTAAGGTTTTTGATCAAAACATTCCAGGATTTTTCTCCATATAATGCACTTTACTGGTAACCAAATGGTTCATGGTCCAAAAGACAGTTTCAGTGCAAACTGCAAACTGTTCAAAGGGCTTTAAACGATTCCAGATGATGAATAAGGGTATTTTCAAGCAAAACGATCAGTCATTAAAAAAAAAAAAAGTTTACGTTTATACGCTCAAATGCTCGTGCATCACAGAACAGAGCAAGGCGAGCATTTGAGCTTATAAAACTTAACTTTTTTTTTTTTAAGTGACTGATCGCTTCTCTTGATAAGACCTATTTTTTAGTCTATGGATAAGACCCTTATTCATCGTCTGGAATCGTTTAAAGCCCTTGAACAGTTTGCAGTTTGTACTGAAACTGTCTTTTGGACCTGAACCGTTTGGTGCCCAGTAAAGTCCATTATATGGAGAAAAATCTTGCAATGTTTTCATCAAAAACCTTAATTTCTTTTCGACTGAAGAAAGAATGACATGAATATCTTGGTTGGATGACATGCGGCTGAGTAAATTATCAACAAAAGTTGTTGTTGTTTTTTTAAAGGGTTAGTTCACCCAAAAATGAAAATTAAGTCATTAATTACTCACCCCCATGCTGTACCAACCCAGTAAGACCTTCGTTCGTCTTCGGAACACAAATGAAGATATTTTTGATTAAATTTGAGAGCTGTATAACTACCACATTGGCTCCTGAGGGACTGCCTCTTGACGGCCCAGAAAGTCAATGAAGAAAATGTTTAAATATCCCAAGTGACTACCGTGGCTCAACTATATGTTTATCAAGCGACGCGAATACTTTTTGTGCGAAAAAACAAACAAAAATAACGAGTTTATTCGACTATTTGTTTTCTTCCTTGTAGGCCAGAAACGAGATTTCCTTAGATTTCCACGACGCATGCGCGAGAATTGCGATCTGAAGTAGTGTAAGCAGATCGCAGTTCTTGCGCATGCGTCGTGGAAATCTCGTTTCTGGCCTACAAGGAAGAAAAGAAATAGTCGAATAAACTCGTTATTTTTGTTTGTTTTTTCACACAAAAAGTATTCGCGTCGCTTGATAAACATATAGTTGAGCCACGGTAGTCACTTGGGATATTTAAACATTTTCTTCATTGACTTTCTGGGCCGTCAAGAGGCAGTCCCTCAGGAGCCAATGTGGTAGTTATACAGCTCTCAAATTTAATCAAAAATATCTTCATTTGTGTTCCGAAGACGAACGAAGGTCTTACGGGGTTGGTACAGCATTGGGGGTGAGTAATTAATGACTTAATTTTCATTTTTGGGTGAACTAACCCTTTAAAGTGAACTAACGTTACTTCTTTCCCACAGCCATAAACTAATATATGGACGCTGACAACTCATGAAATATGATCGAACGCATAACGTTAAGTGTTTTTACGGAAAATTTAAAGGGTAACTAAACACCAAAACAACTTTTTTTAGTTAATGATCTGTAAGAATGGAGCTTCATAAATGCTGTTCATTGATTCGAGTACATTTTTTGACAATTGAGTATAAAGTGTTTTGATTTTCAAATATATGGTGTAAAAACGTCTGAGTGCTGCCCTCTTCAGGTTAAACGGAAAGCTCCTGCAGTAGGGGTACTTGCTGACGTAGCGAACTCTCAGACGCACTCTGTCACACCCTTGGTGCGAGCTCACCACGCCCTTGGCAGCCCCTGGTATAAAAGCATCTGGTTTCCGTCAAAACTACTGTAGCGAGTCAGGAGTTGGATTTATGAATATTGAAAACGATCAGGATACTATAGCATATAATAGCATCTAGTTAGCATAGCATTTATATAGTTATTTAGATTATTTTTGAAAACGACCAGGATAGAGTATTGTTGCATCTATTTAGCATAGCATTATATAGATAATTTAGATTATTTTGTGTAGCTAGTAGCATAGTACAGTTAGGATAGCTTCAAGTTAGCATAGATTTATCAGTGTTTAGTACAGTGATCAGGATAGTAACGGAATAGAGGTGGACATGGGCTTCTCCACACGCAGTGCCAAACACTGCTCGTCCTGCATGGACTCCTCCACCGCAGCGGCGTCTTGATGTGAGTGATCATGGATATTTTAATCACAATTTATGGTTAGGATAAAGTTAATCCTCTAGGGTCGACAAACGAGCCGGTGCATTTTGCTGGATTTTTTCATATAGCGGCATAATATCAATAGCGTGCGCTATTGAGATCAACTCGACGACATAACTCATCAGATGCCGGTCGCGATGCGGGAGTTAAGACCGCAGTTTGAGCCAGCAGCTCGAATGGATTTGGCCCTGTGTATGTATACAATTCACCCTCATCCACTTCAGGTGAAGGTGAGGGAGAAAAGTCCTCGACTTCAAATGGCCGCTCTGTTGCAAAGGCAGCTATTGAGTCACTCCAGACTAGTCTCGCTCTATTTTAGAGTCTGACAGCAGCTGTCACTCACGGCGGGTCTCAGGTGCACGCCCCCTAGCCCCGCTGGGGTCTGCCCATTTTTTCAGCATTTTTCAAATATTGCTAGTGGGTGGAGTCAGGCTCTGACCAGGGGTTTAGTTACCCTTTAAATATGTCCTCGCTCACCATAAGTGGCTTGTTTTAATCAGCACGTGCTTTCTGGATCATAATGTAGGCCTAGTCTGTATAAGTTTCCCTGAGAAAATATTGTATAAGTTTCCTTAAGCAATGCAGAAAGACAATTTCAACATTTGTGAGTTAAGTTTGTCAAGACATGAAGGCATACCTCGATCTGCTTCTGTGATTTCCGGTGATTTCTAGCACATCGGAAAAGCAATCAACAAACGACATTGACGTCACTTCATCTACGTGTAGTTAAAGGGAAAGTTCACCCAAAAAGGGAAATTCTGTCAAATTAATTACTCACCCTCGTGTTTCAAACCCGTAAGACTTGTGTTCATCTTCAGAACACAAATAAAGATCTTGTTGATGAAATGTTAAGACCTTTCTGTCCCTCCATTGACAGTACACAACTACCACTTTCAAGCCCCAGAAACTCTGACAGAATGTTCTACACACCATTAATCTATGTAACTTAAGTGGTTTAACCTCAATTTTATGAGTGTGTTGTTTACGCAAATAAATAAATAAATAAATAAACATAATTTTCCACTTTATTTACAAAATACTTATCTCAAAGTCAAACACATGTTCACACTACAGTCTATGGTTCACACATCAGTCTGCTTTCAAGTCAACACAACAAGCATGAGTCATGGTCCAAGTGCTGGTTCAGATATTTATTGGATTTGATTGATATATTTATTTCTAATAATTTAAAGTAAAATTAAATCACTTCTAACAAAAGAAAAAAAAAAAGAAACCTGTGCTGACATATATCACATTTATTATAACTAATTTAATCAAATGTTATAATTGAATAACTTATAATATCTATGGAGATTTTATATGACTGAATTTTTTGGAAGTAAATTGAGTTGTAGAACGTCACTCTTGTAAATGATCTGTGTGGACAGAATGCCATTAAACACTCAGTAGTGGAGTGACACTGTATTAAGCTGCAGTGCATGAGCCTCATATGTTTTGTCAGAAATACTTGTAGCATTAATAGTCTTGTTAAAAAAAAAAAAAAATTCTTTCTCAGACATGCCAAAATTTTTTGTATTACATTTTCAGCAAATATCTTCCAATATAGCTCTGTTACTAGAAGAAGAAAAAAAAAAACTAGCATTATATTCCTCACAAAGAACTTGATGTGTGTTCTGAAGAAGGCAGGTATAAAACCCATAAATTGGACCCTTGGCATTTGAAAAGTCCTAATGACAAATCACTACTTTCCCTTTCACCCCCTAGTATTTCATCTGCAGACTACCCATGGTGCTCTGGTCTTCTTAAAAGCTTGTCGCTGGCTGAGCTGTTCAAACTTCGCCGTTAGCAATACATTTTCCTTGGTTTCTTTTTGTATCTTACAGACACACAAGAGAGACTTGATACTCTCTGTGATAGTTTCAAAACCCCAGGCAGTAATATTGGTTAAATGCGACCTGTCTACAGCTCAGGAACCAAGATGATTTTGCTAATGGCTCAATATGCAATATTTTAAACACACTTAATCATGCACTTCCTAACATGACCCTTGCGCAAGTGGTGCCAGAGTATTCAAGAGTAAATGGTGTTATAGGGCAAAAATTTATCCAGGCATCATGTAAACAAACAGCTTGATTCTCATCCATTCCA